TATTTCAAATTTCGTTTTTTCTGGATTTCATCGATATATTTTCGATGCAATATTCCTGCAATCAAACTCGCAGAAGCCTATGCTTAATAAAACAACAAATCCTACGGATGTTAATCCCACGAAAATTTTACCTTTAAAAAACATGTATTCGGTTGCATAAAATAATATTTTCGAAATTCGATACACCATGTTATTGTAGAAATTGTTTTGTTTACTTCCAGCTTCCTATTCTTTTAAATTATTCGCTGTAGATTGGCGTAACGAAAAATCTGAATTTCAATCAATAATATATATACTTGTTTTTAAATCGCATATGTTGACCCTTTTATTATTCGCAAAAATGAAAAAGAAATCAGTGCTACTGATAAAATAAGATATTAATATAAATATGATAAAATAATTAATATAAAATAAAATAAGAATTCTTTCCCTTTTGTCCCATAATTTAATCACGTTTGTAATAAAAATCAATACAGAGATATTTTACGTGTACTTCAACCCCACGAAATATTTCAACAATTCCATTCGATGTAATAAATTTCGAAACAGTATGTGCAAATAATTCAATGTTATAAGCTCGACGATAATGCCCTTTTCCGTTTGCTTTTTATTAACAAATGACTCTTGCAGAAACACGCAGACAATTAAATTTCTCCTTATTTTCACGTGTAATCAATTTTATCACTACCACTCACGTATTATACCTTTGTACAGTTACTGAATTATTAACCATAATTAATTTAAAGGTGCTATATATTTTATTCTGCATATTGCAACTTATATGTCATTATGACCACTGAATTGTAAAATTCAAGGTATAAATAAGTTTAAGGTCAACATTAATTATATACACAATAACGTAATATGACATAAGAGTATTTAACAGATAAATAAAATAAACTAATCAAATAATAAACCAAAGAAACACTATTCTCCCTCTAAAAAGTTTCTTCATTAACACAATCTGTATTCATCGTTAGACACAGTAATAGACCTCAGCAATGCCATCCAGCATGAACACGTCAAGTTACATGACAAATTGAAGAGAAGACGAAAAAATCGGTCGAGCTGACTGTCACGATCCCGTTCGATTTACGGGAAATCGACGCAACGTTGCTTAATTGGCCCAAAAAGTCCGGGGCTAAACGAAAATTCAGTTTAATTAATGCGAATTAACGCGTAGCCGACACAAAACGACGGCGAATGGTGAAATAGTTTCCGGTAAATTAATTCGGGCCAGCTTTGGGAATGTTCGCCGCGCATTTCATGGCGTGCCCGGTTTTAACGTCAATTAGATCTCGCGACCGGTTCCCCTCCGATTTTAGACCATCTGATTAGCGAACACCATAATGTCCCGCGTTTTTCGCGCGTTGGTCATTATAAATATCCAGGGTTGTTTCCGTGCCACGTGAATACGAATATCGGGGGTTGAGAAGGGGTTGCAAGAGTTGAATTCGTGTATTCGGAAACTATTTTAATCCTTTGATCGGTGTTGTCGAATGGTGTACGATCGATCGTGAATTTGATACGGAAAGGTGATAAATTTCGATCTTTCGAGCGTTTAATACGTTGCTTGACAAATGGGATTAATTCGCAATTGGCTTCTGGATCCTAGAAACGCGTTAAAAGTACCCTTGCATGAGAATACACGTGATTTATACGATTTGGAACTTTACGACAGATTTATTGCATCTATTAGGCAGCCAAGATGTTAATAAATAAGTAGTATAAAATTTTGAAATCATATTTAAAAAATTTGTTTATTTCTACGATAATCTGTCGAGTAATATATTTTGTCCGAATTTTAATTTTCGTTGTAATTAGTTGTATCTTGATTAGGGGTTATGAAAGAAGAATATCTAATTGGAAAATTAATTTTATTTATCTGGAAGAGGAATAATGGAAAAGATGCAAATATTTTTATAATTCTCTATATATTTAAAATTACAAAATTGCTACATTGTTCGAGTAAACTTAATGGGCCTAAGGTTGAAAATGGAAATGGGAATAAAAATCACGTGGTCAATAATTTTTCTCCTCTTCCTCGATTAATATTTCTTGATTAAAGAATGAATATCGTTAAAGCTAAATTTAGGAAGGAATTCGGAGTAATCGACGAAAGGATCGTGAATCTTCAATTAATTAGGATGAAATTGAATTGTAAGCTATCGGTATTTCCAATTTATATTTTAATAAATACAATTAGTGCTTTCCGCTTTACCAAAATTTGATATATCCATGCAGTATCAATTTGGTAACATGAACGACACTACGGATTTTCTTTTTAATTTGGAAATAATAGAATTTTATAGCGCGTTCGACGTTCGCGCTTTCGAAAGTTTATATGCCGGTGTAAAATTAATTATCCTGGTTTGCGCGTTTTGCGCTCGATAGTAATGCGCCGGTTTAATTCGTTCGCTTTAAATGGAAATCCATTTGATTGTTTTTCTGCTTGCCCTTCCTGCTACTGTACACACGTGATCTTTTATTTTTTTCCATTATCCTGCAATTTCCTCGACGTTCGAATAATATGCTCGAAATCTTTTATTTCATTCTCGGAGGAAAGAATTCGTTGCACTCCCAGCGAATAGTAATTCTTCGTTATCGGAATGTGTTCGTCAAACAACATTCACCCACTACGCGGATTCCTGTTAAATTAAAAATCACGGTAGAATCAGTCAGTGAGGCATAAACGTACGATCTTACCCCCGAAACATCCTTCACCGAATTATTCAATATAAATAAAAATAATTTTCAATTGTCACAAGCTTGCAAAATAAATTATGCAATTTCCATTTGCACTCGGCTTTCCTGCACGCGATAAAAATCGCGCGATACGATCGAATGCAGCGAAATCGGTACCTCTCCGCGAATTATTTCAAAATCCAAATCTAACACGATCAAGGAGAATAGAAATTCTCGGAAAAGATGAAATTCGAGTATAACGAAAACACCTGGCAAACCCTTTACGCGATTTCCACACGCGTCGGTGTACGAAGATCGGTAAGACGGTGCCTGTGAAAGGAAACGCGGAACAAAGGAGGAACTACGTTCGCGTTGCGATCATAAAGGGGTCAGATTGAAAATAGGGAATCTAAGGAACAGCTAGAACCAGCGAGGTTAAAGACGAATTCAAAGGCGAACAAATTGGAGAAAGCTGGGAAAGAGAGGAGATAGCAGAAAATTAGAGGGAAAGATACAAAGGAGCGAAAAAGGTCGGAGAGCAGAGGTGTGGGTGAAACGAAAAGGACGAGAGTAGGTCAAATGCATGCAGGGATGAAAAGGATGAGGTGGGACGCGACGAGGGTGGAGAAATCAAAGGGATAAGGGGTAGAACAAAGGGAGAGAGCGGGGTCAGAAAGCGAAGGTAACTATTTGACCGTGCAAACGGCGGATAGAATTCGATATATATCGGAATGAGAAAAGGGTATCGGGTTAAAGGCAATGGGATCAGCTCGATTGCATTGTATCCAGACGGTCGAGTCAGATGCGCTTATTGTCTGTCGCGAACACGTTCCTGTTGATATCTCGTACGTGTAAAAACAATCGATCGAAGAATAAACCTGCAGATCGAACGTACATATACGCGATGGCTGACTGGTCCGGTTGAATATTTATCTCGCGAGGGAAAAATTTTTAGAATGCCTCGACAGCTTTGGTAATTTCTAGTATTACAGCAGTCGGGGTCTAAAACAGATCAAAACTGAGACATTAATTCAATTCTACTTCAACTAATTCAGTGGAAATTTAATATTGGACCTTGCATTCGATGATTTTAATTTTGACAGCAAATCGAGCGTAAATGTCATAAATTTCAATTGGAAGAAAATATGTAAAATAAAATAAATAGAATTTTCGCGTTTCAGACGTATTTATTTACAACGTCTGTATAAACTTCAGATAGGGTTGATGACATCGAACGATGTCACACATACTTATCATGAATGTAGGAATGGAATGAGGGCGGCCCTGAAAGAATGTCAAGAGTGCTTGGACTTAGAACAAAAATGACCACGTGCAAGAGGATTGACTGTGAAGAATGTTTACGAGTCGAGTGAAAGTTTAGGGATGCAGCCAGAGTGGTTGAAGTACCTGACCCACCGAGGTTTGCGTGGAAAAAAGCATGATTGAAAAAGAAAGCCTAAGTATGAAAGGGGACAAAATGAATGGTTAAAAGTAAGGGTGCAGGGGTATGAAAGGACACTTTGCAAAGACAGTTTTGGAAAGGTAGTCTATCAGTTTCAGTTTAGAACGCCAGTTTATGAAAATCAATTGTAAGAGTTAATTTTAAAAAAAATCAGAAAAGTGTGCCCTTAGCGAATCTCTCTTGTTTCATAGTCAGCCGTCGTCTATACAAGTTTGTCTATTTACAAGTTTATTTTATTCTATTAAGAAGCCAACAATACCATCTTAAATCAATCCACCGAAAAACGATCCTACATGTAAAATAAAATAAATAAAATTTTCACGTTTCAGACGTATTTATTTATAACGTCTGTGTGAACTTCAGATGGGGTTGATAATATCAAACAGTATCATATATACTGACCATGAAAATGGCTTAAATCGTGTCTATCCAATTTCAAAATATCCCAAGTTTTACCTGTAAGTAAATTAAAGAATCACAACACCGCTATAAATTCTATCTGACTGTTTTATTCCTGCTACTTTGCAAATAAGTATAACACAGAAGCGATGAAAGCGAATTTTTTGGAGGCTTCTGTAAACCTGAAATAAAATCAAAACACGTATTCCTCGCGATGAGCGCGAAATATATTTACGGCAGAATGGGTTAAGTTAGCATCTCGATCGAATGTTCCCACCTGAACGTTCAGCGAAATCAAATGCCAAGTGCCGAGGAAAAATCAAGTTACGTAGAAAGATTCGCGAGGGTGGAGTGTTTAGCCGTGCATGCAGAAACTCTCGTGCCCGGTGAACTTCGCTAAACAACTTAAGCGACATTCCCGCTGACGGATACGCGAAATTATTTTCTGTTACAGTGGTCAAAGGTGCAGCTGGCGAAATTCTCGATCCTCGAGCATCAAATGGATCCTAGCAGCAACTTCAGCAGCTATCGCAGCACCCTAAAAGCGGCCATGTGGCGTAGCGCCGGCGCTACGGACGAGCGACAGAGGATCGTCGTGCCGTTCTTCAGCTTGCTGGTCAAGGATCTCTACTTCCTGAACGAGGGATGCAGCAACAAGTGAGTAGAAAAGATCGCACTCTTCGCATTAATCATTTAAAAGCTCTCGAGCAGATTTCTGGCCTGATCAAAATTTCAGGGATCCGCTCTGATTTCCCTCCCTTAAGTAATTACGATTTATCTCGAAACACAGTCGACAAGCTTCTTCCGTTCGTGTCCCTACACTTCGCTGTCTCTTTTAATACGGCATAATCAAACGCGAAGCTCTGCTTAAATATTCTTTCATCTGTTGGACGTATTTAAATTGTAGCTCGAGATACTTTTTATACCCCATGCTGGCGATTGTATAATATTCGATAGAAATTGTGGAGCATCAATGGTAATTTCATTTTGAACACTCGAATAAAGGAGATTCGTGTTAATAGATTTCGAGAAATGATATTTTCTTATTAAACCACTACGCTTTATGCTTCTCATTAATTTTGCTGTATTCTTCGTCTAAATTACAAGGAATCGTGTCCTAGTGACCCGACGATGAACAAAATATTTTAAGAATGTGAAATTGAGATTATGAAATGTTACTGGAAAATTTAATCAAATTTATAGATCTTCTTTAAATAATATAAAAGTATAAAATTTAAAAATAATAACTCAACTGTACACCAAATGTACAATAATATATGACACTTTAAAGATTTTATAGACAGCAAAATGTTATTATAGAATTGAATAAAATTTGCAAATATAGAAAGTATATTTATCTTTGAAAAGAATGTAAAAGACACCAAGTGTGATGAAGAAATATTTAATATCATTATGCTTACGGTACTACAATTTCCATTTTGAATCGTACAAGCTACTTACAGCAGAATTAATTAAAATCCCCACGATTTTAAACAAAAACACAGCGAATACGATAAAAGAATTCTACACTTTTGTACAGCGACGAGAATTATTCAGCCACAATTTATATCTTTAATTTCGATCAATTTTCCCGTGGTCTGAAATCCTGATTTCCTCCGTAGCTCTCTTTGACCGGCGATTTCATAATTCCGGGAGAACGCGCGAACGCGAGACGGAAATCGTACCAGGGGGAATATTTGTAAAGTAATTTAAGTTGGTGGTCGACACAGGGGGTTAGCCGGGTTTGAAACGCGATCGCCGATTTCCTATCGTGGGTCGGGCGCGAAGTTTTTGCCGTGTTGTCGTTTGAAGCTTCGATAATTTTGCTCCTCCCGCGAATACGTCGACAGGAAGCTCGTTTCCTCGCAAAGTGCCCGACCTTTCGTTCCTTTTCGTACGTATTTATCACGACGAATGTGCCGTGCTATTTCCTTCGGCCTCCTGCGCGCGAGAAACCTACCCCTCGTGTCCCGCCCCTTCGCGACGTTATCCCTTCTCCGGGTGTACCTGTAAACTTATTAAACTTGTAATAGCAAAAGTTGTTTCCTCGTAGCTCGACTGGAAGTTGTTGAAAAGAAAACAGGAAGATGGTGGGAAGGGGACGAAACCCTTTCCTTTTCAGAGCGTCTGCTTTCCTATCACGACCTTACACAAATTCCGTGAATATTTGGGAACACGTGTGATTGAGGAGGTTTCGTTGACAAATTGTTTGGAAATTGAAAGAGGATTATGTGGATAAAATTAGTAGAAATAGTGACAGGAATTATCTTGTGTTCTTGATTCCACTGTTTCTTCTCTGCGGTGAAAAACTCCATTTTGAAAAAATTTTTTAATCTATTGTCAATGTAGAATTGGTTTTTGGGAAATTTCTTATCTCTAAAATAAGCTTATGTTTTCTTTTTGCGGATTTTTCAAGCGATTTGACAAGTGAACGGTTTAATTGTCTTACGCCTGACTAAGCAGTGTCTGTTACTACTTGAAGACTCCTGTTTCCACAGAAAACATGATTATTAATGTTTATTTATTATTTTCTTAGTTTGCTTTGCCTTCTATTTCAATCCTTGAATATATTTTAAACGTAGGTTGAGTTAGTATGACAGTACTTACCTTTGATTCTGTGATGTCTGGCCATACAGGGTTCACTACTACTTGAAGATTCTGTTTTATATGAAAAACGTGTCTTATTATTAATTTCTGTTTCTTTTTTCTTTTACTTTACTGATAAAGTACTTTATAGAGATCACTATATCGGTATAAACTATGTTAACAGATTTTTAATTAAACTATAATAATTGATCTTTTTTAGTTTAACGTTTTCTAACTTTCCTGGAGTTTTTCTCTCGTTCCCATTGCAGTTTAACAATTCTAATAACCTCGGTTGGTAGAGAACATTTATAGAGTCGGTCTAATTAATCATCACAATAACGATCGACTGAGGTGGAACGTTTTTTCGTTCGAGGAACTCATTACGCACGCGATTGCATGGTGAAATGAAACCGTCTCTCGGAAAAGGCCTGCAAGCAGTTTCATTAGAAAAAAAATTTTTACTCGGAGTGGTTCCTCTACTTGAGACGATATTTACTGAATAACCGTGCGCATAATTCACCCACATACACTGTTTTGCAAAAGTTAACAATCGGTTAATGGAGTTCAGTCTTTATCTTACTTCATATTTATTTTTAATTCATATACGTTGTAAATTCTTCATTAGATGTATAAAAATATTCCGAAACAGTAAAAGTAAAATTATCTTTCAAATTCACTTATTATTTAAATAAAATAATTCATTATTCGA